CTCGGACAAGCGCGGCAGAGCCGAACTCAGCGACAGAAAAGCGCGCTCCAGCAACGGATAGTAGTGAGTCACGGTGGCGATCAACTTGTCGAGCACACCGAACGTAAAGTCGTTACCGAAGCACACCCCGAGCCACAGCAACAGCGCCCAGCACGTTTTGTAATGCGAGTTCAAATGGCGCCAACACGACAGCACGTTGTTTGTACCCTCGTGATACACCAGATACTCGTTGTTGTCGTCGGCAGAAGACGCAACCACGGCAATCGCGTCGTCGCGTCGATGCCTCCGTGTCGATTTGAGCGCCACGTTCCAACCGTCGCGGTTATCGCTCGCGCCGTTGTCGTCGACGATTGCGACGTCATCGTTTCGCAGATCGAGGTCTCTGCGCATCAGCTTCGACAGAACATAGACAAAGACGTCATTATCGCGAGCCATTATCAATCGCGGTCGATCGCCTCGATAAGCGGCCAGCCAATTGAGCGCCTTTACCTCACCCTCGCCCTCATTGTAATCGAACTCGAGGCGATCGGCCAATCTGACGATACGAGACGTTACGAACGACGCTGTCGCTCGTTTTTTTTCACAATGCGATCGTCGTGGTCACCGCGTTCCTCCTTGGAAGTGGCGCACTCGTCGTCCGATGACGACCACGACGATCACGACGAGTCGATTTCCATCCAACGGTCGTGAACGGGCGGTCGGACTATCAGCGCGAAATCACGTTGCAGGATATCTCGGATGTTCGGCACCACGTCCCTGATCGATCGTGTCATCCGCGACGATGGACGATCGTGCGGTCAGCGAGCCGGACGTTCTGGTCATTCGAGCGGTCACTGATTTAGCGTCCAACTGGCGCTGCAGCTGAGTCTGTCACTTGGCTCGCGACGCCCTATTGTCCAACGTGTATCGCAACGTGTGAAGCGGGTTATTGCGCAAAAATCGCACTTCTTTACTGGATTCCATACGACGGCGAAAGATACCGTCAAATTCATCTTCGGTCGTGCAATTGCGCACGGCGTACACCACCATGGGCGTAATGTCGAAACACGCGATGTAGCAGCTGCTTGATATGGCGTCTTCTTTCACCACCATTTATCGCGCAACGCACCGAAACCGAATATGCCCATTGCGATTTGTCAACACTTGTTTTTTTTTGCAATTTGAGTCGCGAGACGTTCGCTTTTTTCCCCAAGAGGCGGTGTGAGAAATTCCACCGAATGTATGTGCTTTTTTCAGCGAGTAAAAAAACTTTATTTCATCAGTCCGTGTGCGTGCGATCGCGCGCACGACGCGCTACAAAATGGGCGAGATTAACTTTGGCAAACAGGACGCGCAACGAAAACAGCGTCCGTGCGACATCGCGGCGCATTTTTCCAAACGAAGACGATAATGCTTCGCGCGTTCCAATCGAGCGTAGAGTTCGGCCACACGGCGCAGACTCTCGGTGTATCTGTTGGTCGCGTCTATCGCTCTCTGGACATCTCGAATAGTCGTGTACAGCGTCACGTTGTACGCTGGCAAGACGGACGCGGTGAGCGGAAACTCGCGCGTCTGTACCGAGAATCGAGCGAGTCTGAGCGACAGCGAACCCCCGCCATTGTAGCAACGTTCGCGCTCCGTTGCCGTTTGATACGCGCGTTTCAATCGCCACAATTGCGCAAACACCACGTAGTCCGAGATTGTGTGACTCGCCATATTATCGTCGAGGAAGTCTCGCTTCCGGCGACAATTCGCTTAACACGGTGGTGCTTCTCGTCGCAGAATTTCGTCTATGCGATCGAATCGTCGCGCAGCGCGCACCCGCGGCCACAGTAGTTCGATGCGCGTTTGCTCGGCGATCAATCGCTTCGTCACATCGCGCTCGATCTCGTTCACCTTGTCTATGTAATCGTACATGTCGTCCGTGATTCGGCGATAACCCTGCACGATACTGACGTTCAATCGTGTTTTACCGTCCACGGCGCGCGCGTGCAATTTGATCAGTTTTGCACCGAGTGACTCGCCCTGTGGGGACGGAGGCGTCGCTGCGTCGTTTCCCTCGCGTGTCGCTAGCTCGTGCAAGTGTCTCAACAGATCGTCCAAGGTGACGATCGTGAACGCGCTGTCGCGGTGCACTCTCGACAGACGATCGTATAGATAATTCGCGTATAGATCGTAGTGGCGCGCCGGTCGACTGTTCGCGGCAGCGATCATCGTGGTCGATGGCGTCATCGTCGAGGAGTAATCGTCGCGCAATTGCGACGTCATCGCGACGTGCGACAATGACGAACGCGCGCTGACAAAAGGCGCAATGATAAAACGACGCGCGATAGTCTTGGATTCGACAGCGACGTTATCCGCGATAGGTTCGTGGTTGCGCTCGGGGCTCCGACGAGTCGACGCGACGATCGACGACGTCAAGGAACGATTCGCCGCGAAGCGTTTCTTATGACGCGCGCGCGACTCCGCAGTGGCAATTGTGACCGATAATGTTCGTCGTCGTCGGTCGTGCGATTCGCACGATCCTTGCGGGCAAACCGCCGCCAACCATGGCTCCCCGATGAGCGCCGAAGCGCGCGTGACACTCGCGTATCTGTTTACGGCCGTAGCCGCGACTGCGGCGTCGCCAGTGTTGCTCGATGGTGAATACGCGCGTTCTATGATCGCGCTCTGCACACTCTGGCGATGGCTACATGCGCCGCGAATCGTATCGACCGTGCGATCGTCCGTCACGAGGAACGGCTTTGCTCTCGAATGGATTCACCTGTTCGAATTGGACGACTCGTTCGTCGAGACATATTCGCGCATATGTTCACTCGTGGAGCCATATCTCGACGGTCGTTGTCGCGATTCATCGCGCGATGATTCGAGTATCGCGTCAATTGTCAAAGCGGTGAACAAAGAGTGTCGCGAGAAGGAGGCGGAACAGGTCAACGAAATGACAGAGCATTTGGCATTGTGGCGAAGAACCGATGTGTTTGTTGGTGCTGTATCGCGAGCTCGATCGCGATGGATCGTGGATCGCTTGTCGCGCTGTCGAGTCGGCCAGACTGAGCATTATCGCGACGAATCGATTCGCGAATTCGCCTCCAGCACAATCATGGCGAATTCGCTGCCATCGTCGAGAGGTGCGCCACATTTTCGTACGCCTGGCTCCCTATCCTCGATTGATCGCTCCACAGCTCAATCGCGGCGACGCGACGTGACGCGTCGTCAATATGCACATTTTACAATGTTTTTTTGTTACGCCGCTGAAATGTGATTTGCTCGTTTTTTTACAAAGTACAATAACAAACAGTACGAGCATAATACGACGAAGTTGCCGTGATTGAGCAAGCTAAAACGTTCGCGAGGATCGTGTGCTGAGTGTCGTCAATGGTGACCACGAACGACAGGCCGAGGTATATGACGAGACTCAGTACCAATTGATCGTCAGAATCTAGACGCTCGAGAGCGCAACCACTGCGTATCCTCTTTCCGATGCGCAGAGACGAAGATCGGGCAAACTGATGGATCGTTGGACGCGACGATGATGATCGACCGATTCGTTGCTCATAATGGCGTCCAATGCCTCGTGCTCGTCGGTAGCGCCGCCGCTGGCCGCCGCATCGATAGCGCGAAATCGCAATCTTGTGGTCTCAGCGATAGTCTCTCGTCGACGGTGGCTGGTGAATCGTCATTATCCACACCGCCGCTGCTGCCGTCGCGGGGTTTGCTCGTAATAGCCGTGGCTGCAGTAGCGGCGGTGACTCGATGTCTCGGTAGAACCAAGTCGCCATTTCGATGATCCTTCGGATTGAACGGCATCATTCTTATAGAGCTTCCGGAGATCCGTACCGTCATCAGATCCGATCGCGCCGACTGGACTCTCGGCATCGTCAGGTCGGACGGCGATACGTCGCTCGGTTGCTCCTCGCTGCCGATCATCTTCTTCTTGTCACTGGCCAGGCTGGTCAGGATCAGCGATAACAGTATCACGCCCATCGCTATATAGAGCAACCACCGTCGTTGAATGCGACAGTAACCGCAGCACGACATCCTGAAACGAGAGATAGAGAACGCTTGAATCGCGTAATCGAAATTGCACCGTAACTGTTTGGGATGCAGGCGCGAGCGCTATCCTAAGCATGCAATGTTGTCGTCGCGCGATCTTGGGACCGGTCGCAATAACAACCGAAAAATTCAAATACACAGAGCTCTCTAACAATGTATAAACAGCACGGTCACCGAACGTTCTCGAAGTGTGCTCTTATTGTTCTCTCGATGGCAGCATGCGATATGCTCGTGTCATAGCGGTCGTCGGAAGCAGTGGCAAATCAAGCAATGACAGCCGATGCGAAAAAACGCCCGATACGGACCAATCATCTGATACCAGCGCATTCAAACTCGGTTAACAACAGCTAACCGAGATGATAAACGATATCTCGGTGACGGATCAGGGCAGAGAGCAAGTTAATCCAATCGACGAGCAGACGCACATTTGCAACGCACACATTGAACACACTTGGCACTCAAACGGATCCTTTCTCTTCTCTTCTCCATTCCTCAACCTCGGCTTTCGCATTGGACCTTCTTCATCGTCTTCTTCTAAACTTTTGACCTGACATCCGTTTGACTTCTCTTCTCGCAAAACCTTTGCAAGTCTTTCATTTCTTCTCATTCTCCTTGCTTTATTGCGTGGTTCGGGCCAAATCAACGTATACTTCCGCTCACGGTAGATCAAATTGTGCGGTGCTGACCTTCGCGATTGGTAATTCTGCGCGGGAACTCGACTTTCCCTTTGGTTTTTTGTGTGGTCGATCGGCGTCGCCGTAGCCGCAGTGCTCGTTGACGGGCGGGAAGAAGCGTCGTGTGCGGTCGAAACGTTTGGCGTTGCTGTGACTGGTGACGCCGTTACTCCGGACGACATTATGTTTCTCGGTGCGTCACTGAACGTATCTCGCGCTGGTTCGCGCCTCACTGCCGCACCGAAAACAGTGGCCTCTGTTCGAGCCTCGACAAGCGGCGAGCGACGTGGTGATGGTGGGGGCAATACATTCGGCGGTGCGTCGCATCGACGAGAGAATCTGAGCAGTGTTATTGATCGCGCGATAAAAATAAACGCCAGTCGAGCCGGAGTTTCTTCAACGAGCCCGAAACGACTTCGTGCCAATAATCGCGATGGTGACGTCGCAGCAACATCGTCGTTTATCGTCGTGACGCCGACATTGCGCGATTATCTGACGTACGCCGGCATAGTGACGTCCGCCGACGACAAAGTGCCCTTTCCGTCGACCGGTTCCGCGGACGAGCGAGCGTTGTACGGCGCACTGGAAACGCACGATGCTACCATCGCGCGAGAGAGCAGTTTCTTCGACGAGCGCTGCGAAAGTGCCCTGAAGACCGTGTTCGCGGCCGCAAAGATCGTGCCCATGAGTCGATTGTGCGCCCAGATACACGGCCACGCTCGCCGCGTCGGTGCTGCGAAAAAATGGGCCGATTGGTATCAACGATCGACAGATTTGGGTCTCCTCAGCGACCCAGGGCACACCGATCTTAATGCACGTGTCGTTGACGGAATGCGCGTTCGCGCGCACATCCTTTGCTCGTTTCGCGCGAAAATTAGAGATGCGTCCGATCGAGCTCAACTGTATCGCGCGATTGTTGTTCCATACCGAACGTACGTCTCGAGGGGCAGAACCGCGCGTCGATTCGTTGCAATTGGCCGATCTGGGCAGATTGGGCGTGCGGTCGTTGTACTACCGTCGAATCTATCTGCTGCATCTGTTGACCTACATGTGCGTGGTTGAAGGTAGGTATACACATGCGTTGACGTGTAATTTGTTTTTTTTTGCGTCGTCTCTCTGTATGTAATTTATCGTTTATTTTTCACTTCAATTACAGCGCTTCGCTGCTCCGACAAACGGACGATTCTGGTCATGGAGTACGAACTGCGTCAATTGATGCGTCTGTCGACCTGTTGGAGCATAGCCATTCACTCGGAGCCGAATATGGATCTGTATTACATGTGACCGGCGCTGACCAATTACTCGAACATACCGATTTTTTAATCACCACCCTTCCGATCGCAGTATCGACGAGCGGCCGTTTATAGCACCGCAGCGACCGACTGACCGTACAGTGCGCATCGTCGGTCGAATACGGTCAGTCGGTTGCTGCGGGGGTGAACACGGGTCGTCGCAAAATGTGCATTACAAACTGGAAACGAGTCTAACGTTCTCACTACCGGTGAGCGTCGGTCAAGGTGGCCTGCTGGAGCGCCTATGGCGATGGCCCGAAACCCTCGGGAGTTTCGTCTATCGTAAAACTCGTCACGGTGCGTTCCATTGGCGAATGGACGCGGTGTTTGCACTCGGTGAGCGAACGCACGCTCATAGGCGATCGCCGCTTGGATATAGTTCGCGCGCTGATCGAATCGCCAGCATCCGCGACGACGGTGTCGGAGTTCAAAGCGTCCATGGTGATGGATCGCACGGTTCGTTACGAAGATAGCGTGACATTGGGCGCGAATATACGTTATCCGATGGTGCTGGACGATCGTCTGAGTCTCGAATTGAATCCGCTAGCGGTGGAATTTGAGCGCGAGCTCTTGGAGAGCGAGGATGACATCAGCGACAATAATCTGAGCATCGCGTTCGAGCATCGGTTGTCTCTGAGCGTTCGACTGTGCGCGCGATGCCTCTCGTTGATCCACGAGTTCTCGTTGTCATGTCTGTCGTGTCGCGATCGCTCGATTGTAAGAATCCCGGTTCGTTTGTCGCTACGATCCTCCATGAACGAGTACCACGAGATTGCGTATTGGTTCGAGCTGGAGTGCGAGGAGGCATCGTCGACGAAGGCGTCGATCGATGGCGCCGAACGACTCTGCCGCGGCGCAAACAACGAAGAGGACACCGAGTCGTCGCGATTGACGAGACATAGGGCCATCGCCGCGGTGTTTCGCTCGGTCGCGTTACCCATGCTCGCCGTGGAATGGCCGGACGGACTGTCACGCGAGTCGCTGCCACGCACACCCGAGCGACCGTGGCTGAACGATCACAAGAGACCGGTTCGCATGATCAGCGGCGAGAGTTTCGGCACGCACCAACGATTGTTTGAGCATCTGGTGAATACCGCGATCGCCAACGAAGACACCGTCGATCAATTGCGACTCAAGTACGACAGCGAGCGTACGTACGACTGGTACGCCATGGATGAATTCTGGGTCGACTCGGAACGAGTGGCCAACGTTCCCGCCGCGCTTTGAGACGTACTCGGCGGATTGTACGTGTACCAGTTGGAGAGCGAGCGAGTGCATCGCGACTGCTACGGCGACGGTAGTAGCGACAGCGGCAACGATGGGCGGTTGGGCGAGCGCAATCACGCCATCACCGAGGCGATTTTCGTGCTGTCTCATCGAGACGCGATAGCGCTGACCGGCGGAGGTGCTCTCTCGCGACAGATCGAGGTCTCGTCGTACGGTCGCGCGCCCGAGCAAGACTCACCAGAGACCGCGTATCTGATGTCCGCGCGATGCGACAACAGCGAAACGGAGCCCGCGTCGACGTCGTTCTGGACTGATTTGCGCGCGAGCGTATTCGAGAGCGACCAAGTCGCATCGTCGCGCGTCACCGCGCGATTGCTCAATGACGAGCAGCAGTGGTGTCGGCGCGCAATAACCAGTTGGCGCACCGCGCGATATCGAATAACCGTGTCAAAATTGACGCGTGATCTGTTCGACTCGACCGATCACCATGATCCGGAGAGCCGTTGGAGCGGCGCATCGTCGTTCGTTGTCGCGTCGGCCGCACTGTCGTGTTTGACCACGATCGACGACGATCCGTTTGCGCGCGCGTTGAGCCCCGAGTACTCGGAACACTGTTCGACGCATGAGCGAGATTGTCGCTCGCTCGCCGAATCGAGAGACCGGCAATCTGCGCGTCATCTCCACTTACGTTGTACCGGATCAATTTGTCGATCTATTGCGCACATATCGCGACAGCGATTCGTTTCTCCGAGTGGACGGGCTGCTGAGACTCACGCGTCGATGCGACAAATTGCTGACTTACGAGAAATTTAAATTGCATCAAACGATTGAAGTGCTGGTGACGCGAGATTACGGTACTCTCTGCGCCTCGAACGGACATCCGATAGCGAGATTTCTGCGGGTTTCGCAAACACCGAGCGAGTCGTCGATGAATCGCGACGATGACGACGGAGCGAATAGTGAATTCCACGCTCGTTGCGCAAACTGCGAGTTTGATCATTGGACCGAGTGGAAATGGCTCGATGATACGTCCGTTCGATCACCATCGGCCGATGCCGGTCGAACAACGACGATACTCGCTGTACACGGCTTGCCGAAGCCACGCGCGAACAACGGTCTGATCGCCGAATTGGAGTTTCGAGGTCGAATTTCGCGACAGGAGCGCGTGACGATTCTATCGCGATTTGCCGGATGGCGATCGGACAAGGAACACGCTGACAAATCGGCCAAATTTCACGGAATACTGTTTAGTGATTGCGAATATCTCGATGACGATTCAGTGGTGGTACAATAAAACGACATTTAGCACACTCTCACTTTTTTCCGCGCAAAATGCCTAGAATGGAGGGATTACGAACTTTTTCAATCGACCAATAACCGATGTTTAGAATGCTCCCACTTTTGCGCAAAAGGTCCGGTATGGGGGGGGTAAAATGTATATAACGAGGCGTTCCGTCGCGCGGCCGGTACTATTGTACAGTACGTAGTACGGAGCAGTCAAAGGTACAATAGGACCAGGAACGTTACTGCTGTACATAGTACGGAGCAGTCAAAGGTACAATAGGACCAGGAACGTTACTGCTCCGTACTACGTACAGGGGAACGTTACTACTGTACATCTGTACATTTATACATCTGTACATCTGTACATTTGTACATTTGTACATCTGTACATTTGTACATCTGTACATTTGTACATTTGTACATCTGTACATCTGTACAAATGTACATTCGTGTCTCGATCTCGAGCGTCGAACGTCGAGCGACTCCGAGTCGAGCGTTAAACTTGTTTTTCAATCGACCAATGAACGACATTTAACAAGCTCCCATTTTCGTACAAAAAGTCCGGTATGGAAGGGGTAAAATGTATATAACGAGGCGTTCCGTCGCGCGGCCGGTGCTGTTGTACAGTACGTAATACGGAGAAGTCAGAGCTACAATACGACCAGGAATGCTACTGCTGCCCTGTACTACGTACAGGGGAACGTTACTACTGTACAATCGCACATTTGTACATTTGCGCATTTGTACATTTGCACATTTGTACATTCGTATCGTACATTCTCGGTCTCGAGACGTCGAACGTCTCGATGTCGAGCATCTCGGAGTCGAGCGCGTCAAATTGTTGACGTTACACTCGTTGCTACGACATCAATTTGATCGTATGAAATATAACGAGGTGTTCCGTTGCGCGGTCGGTATTATTGTACATTATGGTTTTGAAATAAAAGAAGAACGACAAAACAAAAAATATCCATCTTTTGTTTTCATCGATCGATCCCCCTATAGCAATCGAGAGCGCTCTTACGCGTCAATTTGCTCGGAATAGCGCAATACGCGCAGATTCAGTCTCAGATTGTCGAGCGTGCGACAGAGTCTATCGATCACCATCAACGATATCGCGGTCTCGCGCACTTGCTCGTTCTCGAGAAAGGACGCGTCGCGTTTGCTTCGCGACTCAAGAGGCTCGCGATTTGACAGTAGAACCAGCGTGGCGCTCGTTGTTACGGTGTACACCTCCATACACAAAAATGCAAACGGCAACAGAAAGAAGCAGGATGCGTTCATGCGAACGCTACGATTTCTCAGTGCCATAAGTCGCTCCGCGGCACGAGCGTCGAGCCTATGTTACTGTCGTCCAAAGTTGCGAGGAGCGATGGTTGCGAATCGATCGATCGAAAAATGGACCGTACGGTCCGCTCGATACGACGAACCACTAGCCCGGATTCTAAAGCGCGTCGCAATCAATTGGCAGTTTGGCGGTTCATCGGTCGATTCATCGACATGGATGATCCCGCGCGAACGGACTCTCGTAGTCGAGCGAATGACTCGAGCGTTTTCCGTTCAACTGTTCGAGTGGCTGTACAAGGAACGCTACGCCGACACGTACGTCCGATCGATCTGGTCGATCCTGTCAAAGCTCATCGAACCTGACGCTATCGTGCCATTGAGCGATCTGACGTCTGTACGAACGCGCATCAACGATCGAGCTGAGGCAACAACTGCCACGGCGAGCGGTAAATCGCGCAAAAGCGACGGTTGACTAACGTTCACCATGCGTGAATATGTTCTTATGTTGCGCCAGTGCGAATTTGAGATCAATTCGCCGGGGTCGTTTGTCGATCACGCATATATGATTCGTCGTAGCCTCTTTCTCTATGTGTTCTACATGCTGGCTCGTACGGGCAAACGCCTGTCCGACGTGGCTGCGATCGCGATTTCGCAATTGCGCCAATTGCGCGATCGCGGTATTTGCGTTATAGCGATACGAAAGACCGGCAAGCTCGGTCGGATCGAGATACCAGAGTTGTTACTGACGTCCGCTCGCGATCGAACGAGCGCCGAGTGCGATGCGCGCAGGTGTCTGGACACGTTCGTGCGATGGGCGGAGGATCGACGCATCGGTGTGCCGTTCGATGTGCGCGCTCGACGTCGCAAGCTCGATCGCGAGCTCGATCGTATGTACGTCTCGGCAACTGGGCGTGCGAAACCGCGCGGTTTGAGCTTTCACGCGTTGCGTCGCATATACGCCGGTTACAGATATCTACACGGGGCGTCGATCGAGAAGTTGCACGAAAATCTCGATCATCGTGATCACCGACAAACGAATCGTTACGTAAACACTTGTCTCTACGAGATAGACAACACCGCGGTGGTTTAAGATGCGTGCTGAGATTCGTTGTCGCCCGCGACACGTTTCGGTCAATCGTACGTAGCAGAACAAGGTGACGCGAAATGTGTCTTTATTTCTCACTCAATCGCTACAGCGCGGTCGACTATCGTCGCCCGTGTCACGCGCTGGACGCAGCCGAGGAACTTTGCCTGCAACGCGCAATGGCGGAAGTGCAAGACGCCCAGGACGATTCGTTAATACACGAACTGTTTGGTTTTGCGGAACCCGCGATTGCGAATCACGCCGTTGTACCGTCGGTGCGAAACGAGTCTATCGCGTCGGCTAATGCGAGTGACGTCGGCGCTAATAGCACGGCGATACAAATTCCGACAGAGTTCGCCGATGCGTCAATGTCGCCGCATTCGCAAAAGTTCCGACGAACGGGTACGTTGACATTGAAGCGCGGTGGCAAACGACTCAGTTTACTGTGCGGCGGTGGTGGTCACGAGAAGCGGCGGAAAAAAAAGAAATCCGATCACGGTGGCGACGACGACCGGTCGTCCGACGAGTCGAGCGGACGCGATCGACCGTCGCGATTAACGCGCAGCACCGCTACGGTTCGACCGCGCAGGATGATCGCGCGATCGAGCTACTTTGTGTCGCCGATCGCGCTGAAAAAACTAGCAGAAATCAGTGCATTTTGGGAGGAGCGACTCGCGGGACATAAATTGTCCAGCAACGTGCGCAAATTGATCGACCAACGCGCGAAAAACTCGTCGCGCGTCCTGCAAGAGGCGCGCACTTTGACGCTCGTCGAGTTTAACAAAAGCAACGCTCACGAGCCCAATAGCATGGGCGAGCACATTCAACTGATGCGATAGATGTATTATCGAAGGTGCGACTCTTGACGCGAGCAATGGTCGCGCTTCGCACCAGTTCGATAACTCGCGAGAATCTGATTCAACTGCTGGCTCCGAGTTTCACGGGCGATCATTTCGGCGCAGGAGCCACTATATGCAGAAGACCACGATAGATCGAACGATTCGCTGCGCGCTAAACACGCTTCGCTCCACGAACAAGAGTGTCAATATCACGCTCGAGGTGGCCGATCGTACGCGCGTCTCCGCCACTGCCCGCTGGTACATGCGCGTGATATGCGATCTGCTGTTTGCTCGATTGATACGCGATACTCAACTTCATCAATTGGGCAACGGCCAGATTCAGCGATTGCTACCATCGCACTTTGCCACGAGTTCGCTAACGGAGCAACGCCCGTCGTTCGAGCCGATCGAGTCTGTGCAATCGAACGCGGATCCGTTGTCGCGCATGACTTTCCTCGAAAACTGCTCGGCGGACGATTCGTCGAGACGACATAAGGGTTCGCTCGGTCGAGGCGAAAAGATTTACGCCAACGGCGAGCTGCCGTACGGTTTGAACAATCTGCACCAGACGGTGCGCGTCAATTGCTTCATGTCGCTGCAGAATCCGCGCGAGTGTCTCGTGCTACTGAACGCGAAGGTGTTTGAGGCGATCGTCAAAATACTGGCGTACGTGATGATGTCGATAATACGCCGTTCCGGAACATCCGTCACGGCGGGAATCACTCTGCAGGCGCGACATATCGTCACCGCGGCCGAGCAATTGTACAATGTACGGGTGCATCTGAACGACGAGCGAGACGAGGATAACAAGAGCGCCGCGTCTCTGACCGTGCAAGAGGCCGATAAAGTGACGTTCACGAGATTGCGTCACATGCACGATCTGGTGAATCGACAGCTGAGCGACAATCTGGTCAGTTTAATCGGCGCACAGGAGACGTTTGATCGCGCAACCGGTCAACGCGATTCGCGCACCAGTCGTGCGCGATAATTCCCCCAATTGTGCGCCCTCCACACACTACAGAGCGAAGCGATGCGCGGAGCATTGTCGTCGACATGAGTCGAGGAGGTTCGATTCTGCGTGTCGTCTGTGACGTCGTCGGCAACGCCGCTGTTGAGCGACAATGCGACGAATGCGCTGCGCTATTTGGTGACGCGAAAGCGCAATCTCGCTCATCGCGCCACCGAGTCGAATCGCCGACGACGCGTCGATGATCGCGGTCGAGCGTCGCGAGCCGCCATCGAGTCGCTCGGCTGCCTCGTATGGCGTCCAAACTCTGCGACGCGCGCGGTTGCGAGCACCGCCGATTCACCAAACGACCCGAGCAACGAGATCGACCGCCGAGCCATCGTAGCGCCGCCGTACGAGTACTGCAGCGTGACCATGTACAATCAATTGCGCGCGGGTAACTCGCCGGAGCGCGCGATGACCGACAAAGGCTGCACGGTGAAGAACATTTTACAATCGAGCAAGAGTGTTTCGTGCACTATCTGGTACGTACCCGCTGAGAAATACTTTTCGCGGTTACATACAAATCGCGCCGTATTTGGCGCCGCGACACGTCGCGCTGTCCTTTCACCACGCGACCAAACTCTTCGCTCTCGATGTGGAGCGCGATCGGCGCAATTTGTGCTATCGAGCGAACGCCCCGAGGACGGAGATCTGGCCCGATCCGACGTGCTCCTTCTATTGGGTGAGTGCAAAAGTTCGTGCGGAGTTTCAATAGATGGAGTTATAAGCGTCGTAAAGTGTTGTCATTAATACTTCCATCTACATATTATATAACGTTGGAAAGGTGACGTCTTCAGCTGTTATTAAAAAAAAAATCATTTGTTTTCATACAAACTGCTTCGAGAAATATCACTTTAAAAATGAGTATCGATAAGGTGCATTTGCGGCATGTTATGCTTTACGAGTTTCGGAAGGGAATAAACGTTGCCG